TGTTAGCTTTCAAACTTTACTGCGTTTTGAACAAAGGCTTTGTCAAGCACAACATTCAAAAATGTTCTTTTTCTTCCATCTTATCAGAAATTAGATGTGGAATGTGTGTGCATTTTATTGTCTTTATCTAATTCTAAATCTATTAATTACAAATATAAATATATATTTTTTTAGCCTTTCAACATGTGGATTTTTATGAACTGTATCCTGTAACTGCTTAGAAGACTAAAACTGGTTACAGTTACAGTATGCAGTTCATAAAAATCGCCACTAGATGGAGATATTTTACTATTTTCAGGTATGACAAGAACTTTATGGCGATTTCACACTGTGAAAGAGTTTGTTTGTTTTTTTTAAATCCCATTTCTTGTATAATAATTATATTTAGAGCTCATATGAACTCGGTGCACCCAAGAACAGAAAATCCATGGCAACATGAAACCGTCTGTGTTTATGTGAACAAAGCCATGCTCAAATCACTCCTCACAGAATGCTTGAGCTGTTTCCAAGGAAACCATCCTGCTCATGCAGTACAGAGGTCCGTGTGGGTGTGTGTGATGTGAATGTGCTCACAAGGTCAGTGTGTTCTTGTTTGCACATGTAGAAGAGTGCAGAGAGCATGGTCAAGTGTTTGGAGATGAAATTCACAGCAGAATGCAGAAGCGCATGTAATCTCGCTTGAATCTGTTCACCCAAAAATAACAAGAATGAATTTATTCACCCTTATGTGGTTCCAAACCTGTATGACCGAATTTCTCCTGTAAAAACACGAAAGATGATGTTACGAAGAATCTTCATGCTGCTCTTTTCTATATAATGTTATTTTTCTTGTTTTTATGACGATGTTCCAATCTGCTTCTGTTTTTTTTTTTTCACACTCGTCTCTGTGTGAGTGGTTGTTGTGTTCTTTGCAGCGACAACTGACTTTAACCGGCTGGGGGTGTGTGTGTGTGTGTGTGTGTGTGTGTAGGTGCAGATTAGATGGATAAGTATAATAGATGGTTTAGTATAATAGTGTTCAGCTTCAACAAACACTCAGAGGAGAACCTGCCCTCTCTGACTCAGTGAAATATTCACTCCTATGCAACTTAATGGTCCATTTTACACTTGAAGTGTTCCCTTCAAAGCACCTTTGCCGAATTAGGCCATGGTTTCTCTCCTACAAGCAGAGATCAGTTCCCTGAAATACATTGAGCAATGACAAATGAAATCTATGATGTACAATGCTGAACAATTTGGACAGTGCTGTAATATTTTACGAGTCAGTCAGCTCTTCCATTTTCATAAAAATCTGGAAAAACAACAACTGAAGAATCAAAAGGTTTAAAGGTTTAAAGGTGCATGTTTCTCTTGATCATTTGTTTCGTTTAGAATGTGGTGGTAATGTAGGAGAGACCTGCCCTTTTGTTTGAAACTCATTTATTCTATGATTTTGCTAAGTGTAGTTGGGAAGGTTGATTTATATATTTTAGTTTTCTTTGTGATAGGTTATTTACATTGCTGTTTAATTGTATTAGATTGGTTTTGTTTGTTAATTTGGGCCTTGGGTCTCTCGGACAAAAAATACCATATTTAATTTTATTTTGTTTAACAAATTATTTATTGTTATTTCCTCTTGTTTGTGCCGTGGGTCCCTTTAACGAATCCTATTTTTTTGTTATTTCCTTCTGTGATTAAATTTATCGGTAACACTTTACAATAAGATTCATTAGTTAACATTAGTTAATGTATAAACTAACATGAACTAACAATGAGCAATACATTTACAGTATTTATTAATCTTTGTTAATGTTAGTTAATAAAAATAAAGCTGTTCATTGTTTGTTCATGTTAGTTCACAGTGCCTTAACTAATGTTAACAAATACAACCTTTGATTTTAAAGGGGTCATATAATGCCATTTTTGTACAAGCTAATATGATTCTTTAGGGTCTAAATTAAAAGTTTGTAATATACTTTAATTAAAAATTCTCATTAGTATTGTAAGAAAACACTTATTTTACCTGGTCAAAAACAGCTGTTTTCAGCACGCCGTTTCAGTGTATATGACTTTAAATGATAATGAGCTTTGCTGACTCCGCCTCTCTGTTCTGTGTGTACACCGTTTGTAACTCGATAACACAATAACCATAACGCGCTGTTCAGTATAAACGTGGGATTATGAATTATATTGAGAACGTCGTACATAGAAAACATGCCGTAATGTACCCTGAGTGTAAACCTTAGACGCATTCATTGTGAAGCGTGCAGCTAGCGATTTGCAAAGATTAATATAAATATTAATATAAAGTTTAATAAAACGTTACACTCACTTCAGTTGTTCTAGAGGTTCAGCAGGGACACGAATATCTGGTACCGATCCTTTTTTTATGAGCGGCTTCTTAGCAAAACCAGCTTTATACTGACCCTCGTTTATAAAGCAGTCTGGTGAGAAATGATTTGCGCAAACATGAAAGCATTGACGTTGCTCGTGGGGAATATTCCCTTCGAAAACAAACTCAGCCACTGCGTCTTCAGCGGTTCGGATTTAGGAACATTAAAATGACTGTGTTCGTTATTACACCCAATAACAGAACACCACAATCGCTTAGACGCCATTCTGCTCATAGACAGTGCTCCAGCATATCAACAATGACCGCGCCGGTCCGCGCAGACTATGATTGACAGCTGGCTCACGAGCGAGGGCGGGTCTGTGTTGAAACCCGGCTGTCAATTATCAATCGTGGGAGGGGCGTCCGTTTTATTGACGTCACAAAAACGAACGGCTCAATTTGAGGCAGGGGAAAACATATAAGGAGATTTAAACAAAACCACTGGATGGATTTGTATCATTTTATGATGTTTGTGCACAGGCACTGCCAACACACATTTCAGTACAATCAACTTGTAATAGTGCATGTACCATTATATGACCCCTTTAATAATGTATTAGTAAATGTTGAAATTAATATGAACTAAGATTAGTAAATGCTGAAGAAGTGTTGTTAATTCTTAGTTTATGTTAACTACAGTAGTTAACTAATGCACCTTATTGTAAAGTGTTACCAATGTATCTTCTAATTTATGGTGTCTTCCTTGGTCCTTTTGGTCTGACGGCCTGCTGGAAGCCTTTTCTTATATTTATTAGGTTTTACCCCTAATAAATAAAGGCCTCTGTGCTTTAAGACCACTTTGAAAATGTCTATATTTAATGTTATTTTATAATTTTATTTATCTTTAAATCAGTTTTATTAATAAGAATTTGAGGGGGGGGAATTATTTAACATGGCCGCAGTGGCACCAATTGGTTGTAACGTTTGGTGAACTTTAAAGATTCAGGAGAGTAGGAATCATTATTCATTATGAAAACAACCAAAAACACAAGGAGTAGAACTAGTGCTGTCAAATCGATTAATCGTGATTAATCACAATTAATTGCATCTAACACCGTAGACACACACACACACACACACACACATACATATAATATATATATATATAAATATAATATACACATTACACACACATATATTATGTAAACAAAAACCTTTATGTTAGATGCGATTAATCGATTTGACAGCACTAAGTAGAACATCTAGGAACAGCAGAAATAAGAATAAAAAGACACCAACAAACAGCCATGAAAGGAAAAGACCTCACAAAGAACACAGGAAACACTGGGGTATAAACAAGGGAACCAAGACAGGGATTATAACATTGGTACATCACGTCCCAAGAGGAAACAATTTATATATAAATAGCTAAATAAGAAAAGAAAAATTTAAAATGCATAAAGGTTTGGTTTAGGGGATATAAAATATAACTGTGATCAGTGTATCTGTGTGTGTCTCTACTCCCTCACCAGTCACTCCTGAGGCGGTGGGCTTCCTGTCAGCTGTGGGCATCTTTGTCGTCTTGCTGGCCATACTCTTCCTCTTCATCAATAAGAAGCTTTGTTTCGCTCGTGTTGGAGGTCTGCCCTGCCTCGAGCAGTACAGCCGGCGCAAACGAAGAGACCGTGCTGGGATTCACCAAGGACTGGGTGAGTAATATTGTTTAGACAAACTTTTTTGCGGATTCTATTTTGTAAAAGGTGACCTCAAACTCGCATGAAATTGCCATAGTCTTTTCTCCCCTGTCGTGAGTCGTGACACATATCTGAGTGAAATCCTCATCGTGGGATGGTTGTGGTTTGCTATTGGTTGACCTCATGTGAGTGACAGGTTGTCCCACCCTTGCGCCAGTTAACATGTCATCAGAGAAGAGAAGAGTCGCTGCCAGAGGGAGGGGAAGTTATTTTCATTAAAGATTATCAGGGCACATGATTTAAAAATAATAATAATCATGTTCACAGTTAAACTATTTTTAATAAATACTGCAATTTTAATTTCATGGTGACTTTAACAAAGTTTTATTGTTAAAATACTTTCTACTATCCCACATGAAAATAATAGTCTGTGGTGGGGATGTCTGTTTGATGACCAATGGCAGACAGGCATATTATCTGCATAATATATTCACTGAACCACGCACATCTCTGTGTGCTCTATGGGTTGTCCCTTTCTCCTGGAAAACATGTTATACATACAATTAAACTCTGCACCTTTTGGTCACACACACACGCACGCACACACACAAATGTTTGTTTAACTATATTAGTGAGGACATTGCATTGACTTCCATTGATTTTATATCAGGTTAATGATATTTTCTTTGGCCTAACCCAACCCCTGCCTTACCCCCAAACAAACCCATCACAGAAACATGTGCAAAACACTAGATTTAAATAAAAACAAGTTTTGGCCGAATTATAAGCCTGTTTAACTAGTGAGGACCAGTAAAATGTCCTCACTAGTCGGTTGTTATTTTTAAATATAAGTATATTATGGTTCCATTTGGCCCTCACAAACCTGTACACACACATTCACATGCGCGCACACACACACACACACACACACACACGTGTGTTGGAAGAAGTTCTTCCGTGTTATTTCAAAAGCAGCTCCCTTAGTAAATATTCAGTCAGTCTGTCGTGCGAGGTGTCCCGAGTCTAGATAAACGCAATGCGTTCAGGTGCCGCTGAACTGGTTTGACTGAAGGTTTGTTATAAGTAGAAAGTTGCTGAGGTGCAGGAACTCTAAATGAAATAATTGATTTTTTTTGTTTTTTGAGGAAGCCATTCTGGTAAGTGTTTGTACTTAGGATGCACGATATATATCTACCATATCAGTTATTGGCTCAAATTTGAGATTATATTGGTATTTTATTGTGCATGCTAGGTTTCCATTTATTTTATTTATTTTTTTATTACCTTTGCCATCATCTAACTCTCACTCAAAGCTAAATTGGTAACACTTTACAATAAGATTTAATTTGTTAACTACGTTAGTTAAAATGAACTCAAAATGAAAAATACTTCTAAAGCATTTGTTAAACTTAGTCAACGTTTATTTCAACATGTACTAATACATTATTTATTATAATAATATGTTGTATATCTGTTAATATTATTTAATAGACCTATTTAAAATAAATATTTGTATCTTAATTAACTAACATTAATAAAGATTAATAAATAATGTAACAAATGTATTGCTCATTGTAAGTTAATGCATTAAATAATGTTAAGTAATGAGACATTATTGTAATGTTTGTAATGTTTTATGTTTTTAAAAAAAACACTGTTAAATGCAATCTTTGGCAAATTTCAACATGAAAATAAATTTTTTAAACTGTACATTATAATGTTGTGATGCCTTAATTCACTTGTTGCATTTAAAAAGATTTTAGTTTTGTGTGTTTTATATTATTATTTACACCAAATAGTCTAAAGATAATTTTAAAATCACCCAATTGTTGGTTATTGGCCATTAAAAGAAAGTTTGGATTATTGGTTTCTTCCAGAATTTTAATGCCATTTAAAACCGTTTAAACAGTGTTATTTAAAAAGGTTTTCATCAGGTAGCTGAATGCAGTTAACTTTTAATGAAATTGTACATTTGATGTCTGTCTGCTGTGCATACGCAAATGGTGATTGTTAGTTGCACTATACAAGTAAACATGTTCTTAAAGTGAACATGTCTTGTATTGATTTTGTTTTTAAAACAGTAACAACATGAGGGAATTCACTGGAATTCATCTGAAAATAGGCCTACTTTTGAGCTGTTGTCGAAAGCGTTCAGATCATTGTGGAAAACACTTTGAAATCTGATGGAATGGCAGACATTCCTCCGGCAGGTATCCCAGCGTTCTCTTCATGGCTCGCTCAGATCTCAGACGCTCTCTCCAACGGCTTCCGCCGCCTCGGCCAAAACCAAGCTGTTGACTCTGAGGTCTCAGTGAGAGATGAGAGTTCAGAAGTGGAGCAGAACTTGAGGCTTGTTCATGGATCTGGAGTGGATGTGTCCTCCATGGATCCACAGGAAACGCTGGTGTTGCGAGGTCAGGGCGACAGGTTTAAATATGCCCCCTCTATGGAACGTCTGACTCCCATCAGCGAACAGACAGATGAGCTGGAGAGCAGGAGGAGTCTGCAGGCGTCACGCTGCTCTGATGCTGGTAAGATGTGGGTTAACAGGTGTTCGAGTGGATTGGTCCGTCTTCTTGGTCACTTTTTTGTGGAGTCTGCTGTCCGTTTTAGTTTAGACATCACTTGTGGTTCTGTTCTTGTCACAAATGGGTGACATGCTTACTGTATAAGTTGTTGTTACCACTGTCTTTGTTACCTCTTGATCATTTTAGTGTTATTTATTTATTTTTAAATTGTTTTACCTCCTTTCTACAGTAACTTTTGGCTTGCTCAATCCATTATTTTTAACATAAGAGCGGACGTGGCCATTTGTTACTTGAATGTTCAAGGCTCCAGGTATTTTAGCTGTACAAAACCAGTCCGTTATTATACTGCTTTATATTGCAAATTGGTATTTATCATATATTATTCAAGTGTATTATCGTAATCATAAAAACAGCGGTTTGTAGCACAAGTAGTTTTACTGTTTACTGCACTTTGTTATTTTTCTAGTTATTTACACTGAAAAAATGTTGCTGCCTTAAATTTTTAAGTACAATCAACTTGGATGGTTTAGTCATTGCAACTTAAATTACATTAAACTGACTTAAAATAATGGGTTGAATCTTGTATAACAAGTTGAAAACTGCTTAACTTATTTTGATAAGTTAAAGCAATGTAAAAACATATGTTGTCATAATTATTGATCACATATTTTTTTACAGTGTACTTCTAGTGGTAAAGTCACCATGAAATCAAAATGGACTTTTATTTTATGGATTATTATCAATGATTTATTAGTGCACATTATTTTTATATAGCGTATAAATAGCGTACTTCCACATTGCAAAATAAGTTGATTTTCTGTAAAGCTGCTTTTAAGTGTTCTTTCGTGAAACTGTTCTACACAAATATAATTGATCGGAAATCAGCCAGGGCTCCAGTTCTCTGTTATATATTATATAGCATATTTCGTAATATTTATTTTCATAATATCAGTTATGGGTTTAGCTTTAGCTTAAAGATATCTGTATTACTTTTATTTAGAGTCTTCAATACTGAATTGGTATTGTTTGCAAAATTTTCTGTGAAATTCTGTTCCTTAGAAAGACACTATATACACAGACACTCAATTTTACACAGACTTTACACTGTGTGTGTGTGTGTGTGTTCGTGTGTGCCTGCGTGAGCACATGTGTTTGATCTTTCTGGATATTTAATATAGTCAGTAAACTGAGAACGCCCTCTCAAAACAAACAGTCATTGTATTTACACATGAATACACTACACACATATCAAATACACATGCCATGTTCACTCCCTCACACACACACACACAAAATAGTTAATCATACATAGTCTAATCTATACAGAAACACCACTGGTTCATCTTGAACATTCTGAAAAATATCTTGTTTACATTTTGAAAAAAAGTTAACCAGTAAATGTAGGAAAGTCATTTCATTTGTCTTTAAGGGGTTGGATAGAAATATGTCAATGGGGCTGAGTTGGAAAGATTTGGAAGTTCCTAGGAATAAATAATTAAAGGCAAGATGTGGGCGTGTCTGTCACCTATCAATAAACGGGGACATTTGCAGTAGTTGCCATGTTATTTTTTATTTTTTTATTTTTTACAATCGCTAGGACACATTTCTCAATATTACGGTCACTTTTTCTTCAAACTGTTCTCCTAACTAACTATCGGCTCGGCACAGCAGTTAATTTCATATTCGAAATGCACTAAAACTAAAACTTCATACATGTCTCAAATCAACTCATTCTGCCATAACATTAGCAATGGTTTTACCCAACAAACTCACTTTGTCACTCATAAAAGAATGAGCTTAAAAACACAAACAACAGGCAGCAATATAAGTTTGTTTTTGTAAAAAAAAGAAAAGAATTAACTGCAGTATACTGTATGTTACATAGTCTATGTTTACATTACAGTACAAAATGATTGTATTAGATGGTAATACAATTGAAAGACTCCATCTGTGGTTTTCAGCTACATCTAATTGTTTTAATATTATTTAATCTTTTAGATTCATAATATATTTAAATTAGGTATTACTGTAGAAACTAGAAATGTAGCAAATTTCTGTCCTATTCAACTTTGTATTATATTAGGTTTTGAACTTAAGTTTAACAATTTTGAAAAGAGCATGTAAACATGTGCAAATTGGCCTGTATAGAGTTTAGGTGGTGTTTGTGTCTAAGTGAGAAATGCATTCATCTCATTTGAAAGATGTAGTCATTGAATGCATTTGTGCCAAAGCAATGTTAAATCATTTTCAGTTCATAGGCTGATGTTGTGCCGAGGAGTTTTGAAAAAGTGACCTAAGTGTTGAGAAATGTGTCCTAGGGATTGTAATAAACTGTAATGGAATACATCCAAGGAAAGATGGACAGTCTGATGCTAATGTAGATGAACTAGCAGCATCATATTCGTTTAAAAAAATCTGTACACATGGTTTTGCTTCACCAATATCCACTTTTAAATTGCAAACCGGACACCTTTTCTTCTTTTTGGAACAAATATTAAATGCTTTTAAATTCATATTTATTCTGTTCTTTGTTAATTCATATTTGTTCATAATAAATTAACTTTATTTAAAAATGTTACAAATTTATTTATTAACATTAATCACTGAAATGGAGCCGTTTAGTACATGTTTTACTGAATCAGAGGCATTTAGTTATAGATAAAAAGCCCGTCAGTTGAAATCTACAAGGACGTTTGTTTCGAAGGGCAGCAGTTATTTTTGAGCTCTTCTGTTTGGAACCACACAGATACAGAAGGTATAATTTATGTTGTACGGAATAAACATTAAGTAAAACACTTCAGTGTGAGGGGCCGGTTACCATGGCAACCTCCTATGCTGATCCTTGGCCTAAATTGATGTGTGTGTGTGAGTGTATGATGTGGTGAAATGCAGTGAAATGAATGGATGTGGAACTATAATGGGTAGTTAAGAGAAAAAAAGAGACACTAATTGGCCACTCTCGTGTGATTAGGTGCATATGGTAGACGTGCTTGTCTACACTCAATTCAATTTCAATTTTTTAATGGAGTAGAATAGAATGGAATAGAAAAATAGTTATTGTGGTCAAAGTTTCCTGTATCATTATAAAGTAAAGTTTTTTTTGTTTGTTTTTTTCTGAATTCGGTTTTCTTTTTTTAATGGTGCTTGCTAAGGCATTCATCACTACCATTGAAGAATGTCGGTAATCAGACAGTTGATGGACCCCGTTTGACTTCCATAGTATTTTTTTTGTCAATGTCAACGTCACCTTTATTTATATAGCACTATTAAAACAACACAAGTTGACCAATGTGCTTTACATCATCACCGAAAAGTTAAAAAAAAAATACTACAATAGTAATAGAATAAAACAAATTTAAATAATTTAAATAAAATATTCCATCAAAAGGATGAATAGGCCATGGCAAACAAATATCTCTTAAGTTGTACTTTAAAAACATGTACAGAGTCAGCATCCCTAACATAACTGGTAAGCTATTCCAAAGTCTTGGCGCTACTACTGCAAAAGCACGATCCCCTTTCTGGCTTAACTTGGTCCTTGCAATTTTCAGCAACTTTTGAGTTGATGATCTCAAAGTTCTTCCTGACTGATACTCCAGTAACAGAGCCAATGTATTAAAGTCAATGGGGTCCATCAACTGTTTGGTTACCGACATTCTTCAAAATATCTTCCTTTGCATTCAGCAGAAGAAAGAAACTTCCCTCGCCCGGCCCTAGAATCCACCTAGTATAGAACACCCAACCACATTATGGCTGCAAATTCTGCCTGTTGCTAAACTGAAAGGTCATACGTTTTCTCTGCATTGATCTTTGTCAAATTTTTTGTCTCTTTTTTCTTTCTTTGTTTGTTCTTCTGTCCCCGTCCATGTTTGTGTGTTTGCAGTGAATAGTTACGGCGATGACGATGAGATTTCCAGTTTATCAGACAGCGATGATGAGTTAGCAAAGCAGTTTGAGATCTCCGTTTCCCGCTCACAAAGCTTCCGTTCAGGGGTCACGGAGCTCAACACCCAGAGCGCACCAGGGCCACATCACAAATTTAAACGTCTGTTGTCTGACCAGGAAGAAGGAAGCACAGAGCTGTCTGACTGTGAAGGTACGTACCTATACATTCTCCTGTTTGCTCATAAATTTATATCTAAATAATATAGCCACAAGCAGCAATCACTGGGGTCCAAGCAATAATGGCCCATGTGGATGATTAGCGATCTAATTGAAATGTATAATATAATCCATTTGGTCCATCTTGAATCTTCACTGAAAGTTAGGGTTTGATCATAATACACTATATTGCCAAAAGTATTGGGACACCCCTCCAAATAATTGAATTCAGGTGTTCCAATCACTTCCATGGCCACAGTTGTATAAAATCAAGCACCTAGAATGACTGCCTCTACAAACATTTGTGAAAGAATGGGTCGCTCTCAGGAGCTCAGTGAATTCAAGCGTGGTACTAGGATAGGTTGCCACCTGTGCAATAAGTCCATTCGTAAAATTTCCTCACAACTAAATATGCCACGGGCGACTGTTTGTGGTATTATAACAAAGTGGAAGCAATTGGAAACAACAGCAACTCAGCCGCGCACAGTGTGAAGAAGTCGCCAACTTTCTGCAGAGTCAAATGCTACAGACCTCCAAAATTCGTGTGGCCTTCAGATTAGCTCAAGAACAGCGTAGAGAGCTTCATGGAAAGGGGTTCCATGGCCGAGCCGCTGCATCCAAGCCTTACATCCCCAAGTGCAATGCAAAGAGTCAGATGCAGTGGTGTAAAGCACACCGCCACTGCACTCTAGAGCAGTTGAGATGTGTTCTCTGGAGTGACGAATCACGCTTCTCTGTCTGGCAATCCGGTGGACGAGTCTGGGTTTGGCGGTTGCCAGGAGAACGGTTCTTGCCTGACTGCATTGTGCCAAGTGTAAAGTTTGGTGGAGGGGGGATTATGGTGTGGGGTTGTTTTTCTGGGGTTGGGCTTGGCCCCTTAGTTCCAGTGAAAGTAAATCTTAATGCTTCAGCACACCAAGACATTTTGGACAATTTTATACTCCCAACTTTGTGGGAACAGTTTGGGGATGGCCCCTTCCTGTTTCAACATGACTGCGCACCAGTGCACAAAGCAAGGTCCATAAAGACATGGATGGGCGAGTTTGGTGTGGAGGAACTTGAGTACTGAGTCTGACCTCAACCCGATAGAACACCTTTGGGATGAATTAGAGTCAGTGCCAACATCAGTGTCTGACCTCACAAATGGACTTCTAGAAGAATGGAAGAATTCCCATAAACACACTCCTAAACCTTGTGGAAAGCCTTCCCAGAAGAGTTGAAGCTGTTATAGCTGAAAAGTGTCTGCCAACTACATATTAAACCCTACGGATTAAGAATGGGATGTCATTAAAGTTCATGTGCATGTAAAGGCAGACGTCCCAAACATTTGGCAATACAGTGTATGTGTGGACTCATATTCAACGTTTAAAATTAGCATGTCATAGGATGTCACAGGACAATTTCAAAGAAACGAGAAGATACCATTTGCTGCTAAAACCCTTTATGTTTATTTATATGTTTGCCTGCCTCCTAACCTTATGCTTTAACCTAAGTGTTTGTTTTATTATTCATATCACAACAATAAATGTCTTTATAGAAATGTTATAATATATTATCGTGAAAAAGACATCATTTTGAAAGGGCAGCATTAAATTGTACTGACAGTGTACCAATGACTACGTTTACATGCAGCCAATAACCCGTTCAAAATCGGGATAGCAATAACCCGGTCGCGCACGGCCATGTAAACACCGGCAAAAACCCAAATATGCTCATATCCCGGATTTAAAAAAACGGGATATGATACCTGGGGTACCCCTTTTTTAACCCGAATTTTTGGTGATGTAAACGCGCATCGGCATATCCCCATAGTGATTTGTGTTCTGCGCATGTTCTATTCGCAAGGAATCTTGGTCTTTTGAGTAGAGGAACTTCTCAGCGCATACAAAAACCCGCGTGCAGTATACCGGAAGTAAACATGGCGAGACGCAGCACAGCATACTAAACGTAGTGATTGTTAGGCAAATTAACTAGATCAATGCATATTCAAATGGATGGAAACTGATAGAAAAAGATTAGGCTTAAAATATTCCTTATCCTGTGCAACATTAATATCACAGCCTTCATCTTTCCGTTGAAACTTGGCTGATAGTTTAGAATTTGCTGTTAGCTTCCCAAGCATCATAAATTCATAAAAGCATGTTTGCTCAGAATGACTTGTTCTCCACATGTACAACGTTTTGATAAGTTTGATAGTTATAATGGGTCATATCAGACACATGTAAAAAAAAAAAGTGTATCTCCTAAACTGTTTAACAACTATTTTTAATTCCATAGCTGTGATCCAAAATGCAAACTGCCTTTTTATAGCGCCACCTAGTGTCGGACGTGTGTTTGTCTGTGCACCTGAGTAGTGGCAGAGATACACATTCATGTGGTCGAATGTGTTCAAACAGCCACAAAAGACCGTCTTCTCTCCGTCTACTGATCTGATGCGTGAACATCAGCACATAAGCACATAACAAAATGATTAAAACTTGAACTAAAATACAAACGAAAACTGAAAATATAAAAATAAAAGCTAATTCAAAATATTAATAAATAATACTAAATAATACTAAAGTAACACAAGAAATTCAGTTATTTCAAAAGCATTTAAAAAAAATTGATTGATTGTGAAAAAAAAGTTGTAATTTACTAGCTACTTAAATACTAGCTTTTTTTAAATCGGACCGTGGCTCATATTCATCTGCAGAAGTTTTAAAGCATAAAACAATCCTTTGAAATTGTCAGTAAAAATCTAATTAATTAACTTTATAGTAATCCAGTATTGTTAACTAATATTAAAACTATTAAAATATTTTTTTTAATTTTGAAATGTATTGGCAACAAAATGACTAAAGCTAAGACTGCAATAAAAATTAATAAAATCGATAAAACATTACAAAAGCACATAACAAAATGATTAAAACTTGAACTAAAATACAAATGAAAACTGAAAATATAAAAATAAACGCTAATTCAAAATATTAATAAATAATACTAAATAATACTAAAGTAACACTGTGGTAAACCAAAATAATTTTTTCCAATTGAACAGATGTATAGTGTCACTGTGCTGTGGAATAAAGCTAACCTATGTTTCAGAAGGTCGTACTAAACCCAAACGCCTCTTATAGATATTTATAAATGTGACTCTTGTCACATCACTGTTAATCTCCCTAATGCTCAGTCAACATCTCTAATCTCTGACTGACTGTACGTTATAATGTGACATATCACAACTAAAACAGCTTCCATCCGGCTGTTTGTGTCTATTGAATTCTTGCTGTATGGAGCTTTATTTCTCCGAATGGTCATCACAGAATCAGTTGCTATGGAAAAGCGTCTTTCCGGTTGGCATGGTAACATGGCGACTGGATCTGTCTGCAGTTAATTGTTCGCTGGTGTGGAGTAGAACAGTTTGTACCCTGAAACAGATTCCATTCAGTGAAATTCACAGAGTCACGTAGGACAAGCACTTAAAGCCGTAAATTACTATCATTATCATCTGCTCTGGGGAGTCTGATTGGTCAAATGAGCTTGTCCTGCAATTATGATGACTGTCAGAGTGTCAATAAAATTTCATTTGCTAAACGTTCAGGGGTGTGTGTGTGTGTGTGTGTGTGTGTGTGTGTGTGTGACGGAGCTGTTAATTGTGTCATTAGCTCTCTATCAAAAGTCTACTGCTAAATTGTTACTGCCAAATATAGCCCTCCATTTATTGGACTCCCCCAGTGGAATTAAAATGTACAAATGAGGTCTCATCCATATCTCAGTTGTTTAGCAGACAGGAATGAGATTAAATGGAGACTTTTGCTTCTTAAAATTTTCTCCTGACTTCATAAATGTGTCTCCTTTGGAGTTTCAGCAAAGGTCTCAAAGAGTCACAGAGTCTGCAATCAAAAGTCTTGCATTAATTTAAATAATTACATTTTAAGTTATCCTACGACTAAATTATCTGCACTACCTACATTTTTTGTATTTCTATTTATGACAAGGAATTTAAGGGGAAACATCTGAGGTTTAACAATACAATTTTCGGTAACACTTTGTCACAGTCAGGGTTATGTTCTGTTTCGTTCAGTTTCTGTTTGGCTGTTTTCCTTTGACCCAGTTTTCCCATGTTTCATTGATTCATCCTATTCGCCCGTCCCTCGTTATCTCGTTAGCTCCTTTGTTTGCCCTTGTACGTAAGCCCTCAGTTCCTGTCAGTTCTTTGTCCTAGATTGTTTAGACTCCCATGTTTAACATCAGTGTGGATGTGGTTGTGTGGTTTATTATCAGATTAAAAGATTCTTATAAAGCATTGAGCAATAGTGATTCATATTAATTGCAACATTTACTAATACATTATTCATGTTAATATTATTTAATGGACCCGAGCTTATATGAACTAACAATGAACAGTTGTATTTTTTATTGATTATTGTTAACGAAGATTAATAAATACTGTAGCATATGTATTGCTCATTTTTAGATAATGTTAGTTAAAGGGATAGTTCACCCAAAAAGATAAATGTTGTCATCATTTACTCACCCTCATGTCGTTCCAAACCTCTATGTGTTTCTTTCTCTGTTGAACACAAAAGAAGATATTTTTTGAAGAATGTTAGTAGTAGCCATTGACTTCCATAATCCATAGTATAGAGAAAAGAACTATGGCAGTCAATAGCTACCAGGTTTGTATGGAAGCTTGTTTCCGCCAGGGAAGAAATAAATGTTAGAATTGTCTGTTTTATTTTTTATTCTGTGGCAGAAACAAGCATCCATAGATTTGGAACAACATGAGGGTGAGTAAATGAAGACAACATTTATATTTTTGGGTGAACTTTCCCTTTAATGCGTTCACTAACTGTAACTAATGGGACCTTATTATAAAGTGTTAGCCGACACCACATTAGTTTAGGCATATGAGATAATTATGTCTCGTTCTTTCTCCCTCTCCATGTAGAAGCTGAGAGAAACAGTGTGCAGAGTTTTCAAGATCCCCTCTCATCCAGGCGACGCTTTGGGTCTGAGCCGAGAGACCCCTTATCACAGAGCCCTCTTCCTGAGGCCCGAACCCCCACAGACCCCCTCTCTCTGATGGCGGAGCAGATTTCTGTGGGCTCCCAGGACACAGGGGACGGTCTGGAGGATCTACCCAGGTATGAGGGCAGTCGCCCGGGCAGCATGGGGCGGCAAACCCCACAAAGGAGCCTGGCGGTTGACAACCATGGCTATGACAACAGTGGGGCTACGGATAGTTTCCCTACATGGAGCCCTGAGGTGTGTGTACTTATACTTTTTATACTTCCTACATACACTGCCGGTCAGTACAATGTTGTTGTTTTTTAAGTAATTAATACTTTTATTCAGCAAGGATCCATTAAATTGATCAAAAGAGACATTTGTATTTGTTTCAAAGATTTCTATTTTAAATAAATACTATTTATCAATATGTTTCTATATGTTTTCAACATTGATAATAATAATAAATGTTTCTTGTGCATCAAATCAGCATATTAGAATGATTTCTGAAGGATCATGTGACACTGATGATGCTGAAAATTCAGCTTTACCCTCACTGGAATAAATTACATTACGGAATTGAATATATTAAAAAAGAAAAAGAAAAGTTATAAATTGTAATAATGTTTCACAATATTATGTTTTTTTACTGTATTTTTTATCAAATAAATGTAGCCTTGGAGAGCATGAGACTTCTTAAAAAAAAAAAAAATCTTACCAGCCCCAAACTTTTAAACATTTGATTTATACATAATTTAATGCCTATGTTTTAACTTTTCCATTTATGATTAGATCCTCTAAATCTCTCTCCACAGAGATCTTCACAGTTATGAGAACTAAATTCTAATGAATATTCATGAGTCGTCTGCTCTATAGCTCTCATAGCCATTGCTAATGGAAACACCTCGTGTTCATGACATGCATTAGGTTTTCACAGTAAAATCTTTCTCATTTAGTTAAGAGAGGTGTAAGAGAGCGGGAGGTTGTGTATGATGTGTGTGTTTAGATCTGTTTGTTTATATATGCATTGAGTATGTTTGTGTGTTTTTCCACTCTCTAACAGCATGAACAATCTCCGTCCCACCCTTTGAGCTCTTCTCCTCGTGGACACATCTCAATATGTGGTGACCTCAAAATTGCCCTCGACTACCGGGCTGAGACCCACAGACTCCTGGTCACCGTGATATTGGCCCAAGGCATTCCAGACAAGGCTCGGAGTGGCATGGACTCCTGGCAGGTGCACGTGGTGCTGTTACCTGGGAAACGGCAGAGGCACAAGACGGCCGTGCAGAAAGGCTCCTTGCCCAGGTTCGAGGAGACTTTCCGGTTTTCGCATCTAGAGCCAGGGGATTTGGGCTCCTCTGCGCTGCGGTTCCGCCTGTACGCGCTGGGGAAGATGAACAGGGAGAGGATGATGGGAGAGGCCATGTACAGACTGAGCAGGCTGCAACACACAGGCAGGTTCGAGATCACGCTGCTGCTGGAGCCACGCTGTAATCTCAAGGTGTGTAAATTGCTATGATAATACTCTCTTTCTTTTCTTTTTTTAAACTGGTGTGGTTGGGCCAGTTTAGTTTAAGTGTTTTTTATTTATTTTTCTGCCCCACCACAAATTTATATGTATTATTTTATTATTATTTTATGTATGTTTTATATGTGCCACAGATCGTATTTGTATTTTTTTAAATATATATTTATATGAAATGTTAGGTCAACCGTACAAAAAAAAATCTATCTATCTATCTATCTATCTATCTATTGTCCGTCAGTCAGTCCATCAATCCGTCAATCAATCCGTCAATCCATCAGTCAATCCATCAATCCGTTAATCTGTCCATCCGTCAATCCATCAGTCAATCCATCAATCCGTTAATCTGTCCATCCGTCAATCCATCAATCCGTTAATCTGTCCATCCGTCAATCCATCAGTCAATCCATCAATCCGTTAATCTGTCCATCAATCCATCAGTCCATCAATCCGTCAATCCATCAGTCAATCCATCAATCCGTTAATCTGTCCATCAGTCCATCAATCCGTTAATCTGTCCATCAATCCATCCATCCATACATACATACATAGTAAATAAATTCATCCAACTAGATTACATTATGTTGGTGCATACAAAATGTATAGTTGCTTTGGTACATTTCTCAAACCACATTTGCAACATTTAGTACATTTGCAAACCAGTAGGTACATTTCTTAAACCAATTCATGCAAATAGCACCACACAATGGATTACCTGCAAAAGCCTGTAACTAAAAAATCATTAGTTCATCTCTCAAAAGTCTTTATCAATATCAGTGCCATCAGAATGACAAGTCATTGTGTCATTGTTCACGAACAAGATAGTCAAAATGCTTAGTCATGTTGTCAATATAACAGTGTAATCTGACAGTATTTCCTGACGTAAACTATGGCCACATTAATTGTAATTTGTAAATATATATATATATAATAATAATAATTATTATTATTATTATTATTCTATTATTATTTTAATTTTATTTTTTTTAGATGGCTGCAACACATTCCATAAAAGTTGTGACAGGCAAAATAAAAGTGAAAAGATTACTGAATAACCCATTTAAACTGTCCACAATAAGCAGGTGGACTGGTAATAGGTGAGAGTATTGTGATTGGGTATAAAAGGAGCATCTCAGTCTTTGCAAGCAAAGAAGGGTCCTGGCTCATCACATTGTGCCAAATTTCAGGAGAGAATTTTCAAACAAATCAAGATTGCAAAGTATTTATATTTCAAGAAGAAAGCTATACAACAATTTTATGTAAAGATGCCACCGAGTTCTCTGGCCCTGAACTCATCTCAGATTATCCAAAAAAACACAGTGGAAATGTATGTTTCCACATTTCCACATTTCATCTTGTTTTGGGGGAAAACAGACATTGAGTTCTCAGTCCCAAAGATGAAAGGGACCATCCAGACTTTCATTAGCAGCCGGTGCAAAATCAAACATCTGTCATGGTATGGGGTTCATCAGTGCAAACGGCATGGGTGACTTTTTCATACGTGTGAAGGTACCATGGATGTGGAGGCGGATGTTGGGATTGTACAGAGATATATACTGCCATCAAGATGACATCTTTCCTGGGAAGCAAGACAATGCCAGGCCTCGTTCTGCACTTACTACAACAGTGTGGTTTCATAGACACTCTACACCTGCAGTCCAGATCTGTCTCTAATTGTAAATGTACGTCCCATCATGAAAAGAAGAATCGGACAACGACGACCACAGACTGTCTTGCATTTGGTGAGATTGGGCAAAAATTCCACTTGCAAAACTGCAACATATAGTATCCTGAACTCCCACATGATTAAAAAGTGTAATTAAAAGGAAAGGTGATGTGAGACCGTGCTAAACATGCCTCTGTCCCAACTTTTTTGGAGTGTGTCAAAATACAATTAACATGGTCTGTGAAAAACATTGAAAATCTTTTCTTTGTACTTTTGTCAGTTAAATAAAGGTTAAAGAGAATGAACAAATCACAGATACTTGATTTTATTGCATTTTACCAAATGTCCTAACTTTTCCTGAAATGGGGTTGTACATTAGGAGCCAAAAGTGTCCAGAGAGGATATTTGCACAATTTTACAGTGTCTTCAAGTGTTGGAAAAACTATGTTTAACTACACTATAGAAATACGAACGAATTAGGTCACATTTGGCATCTCTCCATCTCCCTCCCCGCAGACAATAGACTCCCAGGCGTCTTTCAGCGCACAGAGTGACAGTGCTTCCTCCAGTCAGTCTGTGTCTCATGGTGGAAATCCAGAACTACTGCTGGGTTTATCGTATAACGCCACCACAGGACGCCTGTCTGTGGAGATCATTAAAGGCAGCCACTTCCGAAACTTCGCACTCAACAGACCTCCAGGTAAACACACCATCCCACTCACACTAACAGGCTCAGAAACACATTCACAGGCATCATTAAACCATCAGGAGTGACTCTTGGGCAAATAACCTTTTGTAAAGCCGTCTGATATTGATTCAGAGTAAATGTACTGCAATAAATCCTTTCTAAACGAACGAGCTGCTAGAACACACATTTGTACATGCACATTTTGAATGCGTCATCCTCACACGTTGTGGGTCAAACATCAGGCTTTTAGAGTTCATGCTGTTTGTATGAATCTTAATCTATTACAGTCACATCTCGCAATGATGCTCCTGGGTGAATGGTTACATGACATTTAATCGATCACAGAGCCCCAGATCTTTTCAAATACCTCTCGCATCAAGTCGATGAGTTACCACTGGAGAAAACCACACAAACATACACAGACAGACACATACAGTTCTCTGTTATCATGCTGAGTCACAGTTTTGTGTTAGTGATCATCCTAAAGGCCCATTCACACCACACAGACAAACGCCAACAAACAAGTTGGCAGTTGGATTTAAAATTGTATGAAAAATAACTGTCATGTTCACACTGGCCCAACAGACAGCAACAAACACTGATTGAACACGGTCAGTCACTTGAAAACAAGCGCCGACAGGGGTAACCCACTGATCTGAGAAAACACAACCCAAAAGTGTTTATTGGTGTTTGTCTGTGCGGTGTGAATTGGCCTTAAGCCAAGTTTCAAAATAAAACAATATTTGTTACTGTACCAACCTATTCTACAATTCAAAACATTTTTTATGTCTGTTAAGAAGTCTCTTATCTTTACCTAACCCGAATTTATTTGATCAAAAATACAATAAAAAACAGTAATATTGTGAAATATTATTAAAATTACAAAACAAACTTTTATATTTGAATATTAAAATGTATTTCTGTGATGGCTAAGCTGAATTTTCAGCAGCCATTACTCCAGTCTTCAGTGTCACATGATCCCAGTGTTGGGGAAAGGTACTTTTAAAAGTAATGCATTACAATATTGCGTTACTCCCTTACTATACTAGGGAGTGAGTAAATGCATGGTCACATTTAGTCTAGACACTGCGCACACAACATGTGTTATTTTAAATGTCCAAAATAACACAATTTACAGATCATTGCTATCTAATAACAAAAATTTCAATCATTGGGGCTCAAAACTGTTTAGATGGAATAAATCACACAAAGGTTGATGTAGAAATGAATTTTTTTAAAAACATATTCATTCAGTAGAGATTTAGTGACCTGTCTTTCTCTTTCAGATACGTTTGGTAAGCTCACTTTGTTGAACTCTATGGGACAGGAGATATCCCGCTGTAAGACATCCATCCGTCGCAGTCAGCCGAATCCGGTCTTCAAGGAGACGTTTGTCTTCCAGGTGGCTCTGTTCCAACTGTCCGACGTCACATTAATGGTCTCCATTTACAATCGGCGGAATATGAAACGCAAGGAGATGATTGGCTGGGTGGCTCTGGGCCAGAACAGCAGCGGTGAGGAGGAACTTCTTCACTGGCAGGACATGAAGGAGAGCGGAAACCAACAGGTCTGCCGCTGGCATACACTACTGGATGCTTAGAGGAGAGAGATAGAAATGCAATCACTCTCATTTCAGCTGGAAATTCCTTTGGGAAGGAGGAGACAGCCAAGGCCAAAAATACCCACAAAAAACGGGAATGAACAAGCAGCGTTTAATAGTATCAAACAAAGATAAGGCATGTACTTCTGAAAATCTTGGAAGCACAAAGAAACACCCACGCAACACCACTCTTCTTCTCCCTGAGAGCACTTTATACAGCTTTTTATCTGGTAACCAGGAAATGACATCACGGCGTTATATACAGACTACTCTCTTTAACCCCAACAGCAACCAATCAAAACGCATTATTGCCCGAGCCACAGGGATTGCCACCTAGTGATTTAATGAATGGAGGATTGATTTGAAATGATTAAATGCCTTTCTTCAGATGATTTTAAGCCTCAAGTTCAGACCCACACCAGAACACAGCTGGTGGTTATTGGTGAGGTTTTGAAAGCCCAAATGAGTGGAAAACTGCACTTTCATTCATGCTCTCCAACTGATGACACTGAAGCTGTTTCTTTTTATTACATTTTACATTTTTTATTACATTTTACATAAAAATCTGGACAGTGTTATGATGAAAGTTAGAATACTTTTATATTGCTGTTAAAACGGTTATGCAGAATAAGCAATATCACCAAATGACTTAACTATGCTTAAAGCATAGTTCACCCAAAAATTAAATTTCTGTCATTATTTATTCACCCTCATGATGTTCCAAACTTTATACCATTCTTCTGTGGAACACAAAAGTTGAATTTTTTTACTCTTTTCAGTAATGGAAGTGAATGAGGACTGGTGCGGTCAGGCTTCAAAAAGACTAATTTAATTTCTTTGAAAAATTTGATATCCGACTTTGATCTACTCTGCATGTTTATGCGCGAATATGATCAGTGAATGAATCCTTTCACTCAATCTGCTTCAATTGATTAATTTGAATGAACTGGTCTGGTTCTCGGTTTCATCTGAATCAGCGACTAAATGATCTGATCACAAAAGACCACTGTAGAAAATCATTGAATAGATTTCAGCCTGTTCCTCACACAAAGTTATTGTTTGGTTTGAGAAGACCTGGCGTATAGTGCCCAAATCATATGGACTATTTTTATGGTGCTTGTGAATCCGTTTTGAAGCTTGAAGGCTCCGATCCCCATTCATTGTAATTGCATGAAAAGAGACCAATCCTACTTACCAAAAATAGACTGTATGCACAGACACTTATGCATGTCCAAGAAAATCTTTTTCTGACAATCCAAACACTGTCCTCATGACATTAAAACCCAAACTCGTTTTTTTAATGCATGTCTGTAATGCTTTGTGCATATATAAAGTGCCTGATCTTGTCAAACTTGTATGAAGTTTCATTTATAGCCAGTGATATTGGAGATTAGCATGGAAAACTCTGAAACATTACAGATTTAGTGCCTGTTTTGCATGCGTGCATAGTCTTTTTGAAGATAAATGCATATATTTTTGTCCATCATTAAAGACATATCCCTAAGACATGACTTTTCTGGCAATTCTGTTTTATTTCGTTATGATTTAGAATGGTAATAAATCTTTATTCGTGTAACACTATGCATTGATCTTAGTTTCTTATCACAGCTGCAAAATAGGTGATACTGGCTGAGAAAAAAGTATAATTGACTGTAACCACCCATATGATCTCTCATCTGGTAATTGGGCTGTCTGATTCTGTTGGAAAGGGTGTATGAAACTGAGAAGAGAGTGTGTTTTATATATCTATTTTAGTGCTGTCAGTCGATTAAAAAATTTTATTAATTAACTGCAATTTTTTCACACACCTAATCACACCTAAAATTAAAGTTTTTAATATATTTTTATATTGTAATACTTTCACATTGATTCTCCAAAATAACGTAGAAACAACCAGCCGGGCTGGTTCAGTTTTTTAGCTGCCCTGCTAAACTGCACAAAAAAGTTATTGTTTTTGTTGTTTTTGACCCATGTAACCTTGTAAACAGTGCTTTAAGATTTTCGGTAGGTCTAACAGGTAAAAAATTGAATAATCAAACACTGCACAGCCTTCACTGCATAAATTATAAATTGAATATAGACTAATCCTTATTAAAGCTACAAAAGTTATTCAGTTGACTGAATAACTTTTGTAGCTTTAATAAAAGATTGATTTTTCTCTGTATTTTTGTTCTTTGATTAACATTAATGACAAACAGCAGCAGGTTTATTAGGCTGCTGTCACGGGAATTTTGACGGTTTTTGTCCGTTCAAGCGCGAAACTCAATTGTGAGATTTGAGTGCTTTTTTTCATCTTATAACGCTTGAATGGTTTAATAGCACTTGAATGAATGATAACATGATCATACTGTGATCATACAAAGGATGACAGAAAAAAATGATGCTGTCTAATATTTACCATACTAATATAGGCCCACACTTTTGGTGTGTAGGCCTACCTTTTGATAGGGTGCCACCGAGACAGCTTTTGTACCTTTTTTTCTGAGAGTGTGCACTATTAATTGCGTATGTACTATATTTCACGCGTTAAACTGAAAAAAAAATGAATTGCAAAAAAAGCCCTAACTTAATTTATTTACTGTTTGCATATGGGAGTGGAAAAATTGCTTATGCTTGAAGGAGATAGGCTGATAAAGCTTGGAGATGTGAGGTTAAAATATTATTTAAGAGGTTTTGAAATGTATGCCAGTGAGATAAGTTGTTGGAGTATATGAGCAATAAAACCTTTCAAAACTATAATGATTATAATTAGATAAGGCATATGTTAAGAAATACGCAACAAGAGAGAGGAGGAGGAAACGCAGCCAGCAGCAGAGGATGCGAGAAGAATGGAGTTTGATGCTGGAGCGTCATCATTGCCTAGTGACTCTCCTAGCAACAGGAAACATCTGTTTCAGTGTCGACCAATCAGGAGCCGGTGCAGTCTGTTATTGCTTTCTGAACAGAAAGGGGATATTTTAAGAGCCGAGAGTGAGCCGAATACTACAGGGATTATATCAAAAGCAAGACTTCGACATCTGGGGGCGAAGCGTCAAGCTCACGCGGAGCTGAAAGCGGCTACATTCGGCACAATATGAGCTCTTTTAAACCTCTGATCTGATGAACGCGCGTGCAGGGACTGTTGATGTGGCTTTATAAATAAGGTAACGTTAGGATCATTTACCTTTGTTAATCATATGGATTTTTAATATTACAACATCGTTACATTTTATTGCATGCATTTGTTTATTTTGCAACAGTTACAGGCAGTGCACTTATTTAATGTTTTATAGCCTATTACAGACCTATTTTATGTTTAGAATTTTTTTTTTTTTTTTTTTTTGAAAATGCGCGTTCTGTGATTCATTTATCAGCGTGACAGTTGATTAGCTGAATGTGCACTATAACATTATGCATGCATGTTGGACTTTCAGTAATGTACTTATTTGGTACACTGTAAAAAATGAAAATAACATTCTTAAAAGATAATATAGCATACAGTAAAGAAAAGCTACGATACCATTAAAAATCTATTTTCAAATTCAATTTTACTGCAGAATATTAAAATTAAAATATATATATAAAAAGTAAAGAGTATACATAATTTTTTAATTTACGAAAAAATTATATATTTAAAGATGCAATTCATTTTTTTTCCTCATTAAAAAGTTTTACCCCTAAAAATTAATTAGTACATTTTAGATGAATTTTCCATTAAAATTACTATTACAGATGCTTTCATTTACATGGAACAAGTTACCTCATGTGGGCAATGTTGATATCACATGACCAGCAGAATACTGGATCTTTGTAACACTAATGTTTAATGAATCATAGCTTGATGCTATGACCTACGATAGAAAGCGAAAATGATGGCTTTTGCATGGTGTTTCATCCATACTAGACAACTGTTATATTGGCCAGAGTGCACCTTTATCAAGACAGAAAAAATACTTTCATGTTAAAATATTGTTAAAATATTAATTGCCTTAATTATAATAATTAAGAATACGGCAAGAAATTCAAATTAATCTATGGTGAATGGGACGTTGCCAGAATTCTCTTACATGAATATCATATGAACTTTTTCATCATGTTGCTTTATAAAATCTGTGTTATCAGTACATCTTAATAGCTTAAACAGGACCTGTGTTAAAATTATTTTAAAATGATACAATTTAATCACGTTTACAGTTATAACTAATAGTCACCAAAATGGCATCTAATATCGTCCCTGTATTTGTATAGTTTAACCAAATGCAACTAAAAGAATGTACAGTGAAGACAAATAACCTACCTTATTGGTTTATACACTCTCTCTCTCTCTCTCTCTCTCTCTCTCTCTCTCTCTCTCTCTCTCTCTCTCTCTCTCTCTCTCTCTCTCTCTCTCTCTCTCTCTCTCTCTCTCCTCTCTCTCGCTCTCTCTCTCTCTCTCTCTCTCTCTCTCTCTCTCTCTCTCTCTAGCGCACAAACTGACATGCAGCCCACACTAATCTACCCACCCACGGTTATTGTGCCCCGCACCGCTGTTGACAGAGCACAGGCACGTTTCTTTGAACCTGATAAATAAAAAGCAGCAGCAAGACATAGTGCAACTAAAGCACAGCTTCCTGCAGATGCCATTGCATTTATACTGTGCGATTTGTTTTAGCTTCTTTGAGACAGAACAACACTGATCTGTATGTAAGGAAGATCAGGGCTAGTTGTCACACATTCACACCAATTTAACTTTAGTCAACTGAAATCAGATAGGAAACAGTAGGATCCAGTAAACCATACTCTCTCTCTGTTTTTCTCTCTCTGACTATAGGAACCATTAGGCAATGTGTGTGAGCCAGAGGAAAGAGCCTCAGGTGAATAGAGGATTTGTCAGAGAGGTGTGTGATTGTGTCTGCGTGAAGCAGTCCTCAGGTAATTAAAACACACAACATACAGTACACAGACATTGTTACATAACACACGGACCGTAGTCTAACCTAATCCACTATTCCCATGACATATACCCCCGGTTTCACAGACAAGGCTTAAGCCTATAGGCTTATATATAGTCTATATATAGTCCCAGACTAAAATGCATGATTGAGCTGTCTTAACTGAAAGCTGACATATCTTAAAATATGGCAGAGCCATTGTTTTATCTTAAGATGCAACCAGTAATGTATTTTTTTTCTAAGGCATGCTTATAAAGGCTTCTTAAATGTCCTAATTGAACTAAGGTCTAATCCTGGCTTAATCTAAGCCCTGTCTGTGAAACCAGGCCATAAGATGACACATATGATGGGATTGATGGCATCCCCAGCGAGAGATTGAAAGAGAGATCTGTTGCATTTGTAAAAATTCCATTTCCATCCAGTTACAAAGCCAGTTTCACAGAGTCCTTGTGTGCTTATCCGCAGGGTCTTTCCTCTAAGAGTGCCCTCAACGGTCGACAACGTCGAAAGTCGCCTACTTTAAGCGAAAATATGCGGAAGAGGAGGATGTTCAGGGAAGCCTACATGGATATTTACAAAAAGTGAGTGTCGGCTGATATGTGCTGAGACTGCTGATTTCTTTGTGCACAGTTCAGATCTGAACTAAATTCCA